TGGACACCAAGTAAAACTAAATACAAAGCAAAACTAACTAAACCCAATCCCCCCATGACATAGCGACACATGGTTGGCCCAATGAGTTGGTTCCAGGATTTAAGAGTCCTCAACCCTCAGCCATACCTTTTGCTCCACCAGAAAAAGGACTGCCCCCACAACAACCACGGTAACTCAAAGACAAAGAAACAAACTATTAATATAACAGAAAATGGCTGATGTAGCCGTACAGCGTTAAAATGTGTGCACTCCATCAAAACAGTATAAAGTTAAAAAGCAAATAAACAGATTTCAAATGTGTGATGTTAATTGTTTGGGTGTGGTGGACTGCAAATGAAATTAACCTGTGTGTGTAGCAATTGAAAGATTGTAAACTGGATTGATAATGCCATGTGTGGCTTTAGCCAACACAATATTTATTATTGTTATGTAGCTTGGCTGCTTTCCTTTATGTGACGTTGTGTACAGTCTCTCTGAAATGAGATGTATTGTTAGATTGTTTTTGTAGAATCCAGTTTCTCCATCCTTTTCCCACATAAATGACCAAAGTGGGGACGCCTACTGAACATTTTTATTTATAACATTGCTTTTCTGTCTTTATTTTTGATTAAATACACAAACAAAGCTCACAATTTTTAAGCATTGTTAAATTAATTCCACATGCCGCCCACCCTTCCTGACTGACTAATAATAACATAAAATTAAATGTATAATAAAGAAAGAAACAATGAGTGAATAAAGAATTAACTGACACTAGTTTTCTGAGAGTGTGCAGCAGGCAGAGAGAATTGCATTTAGTGTGTAAAAATCATATTTATTGATCATAAAACAGACAATGAAGTGTTGACACAAATTAAGGTGTGTGCTTGTGTGTCAGAGAAGCTGGATTAAAAGGCTGTGATTCAAATAGGATAGAGACGTTATAAAATGCCAGTCGTACTGGATCAATGGGACTTTATCAATCATAATAATGATGCAGACTCAACAAAGAGTGCCCGACTAATTAATTGAGAGACTAGGAGCTGTTTTATGACCGGAGAATAAACAAGGTAAAGCATCTCTGTGACGGTTACTGCACTGGTGCAGATAATCTTTTAAATACAGTATTGTATCTTATTAAAGCAGTATTTAATTTAATTACCAGCATTGTCAGCTGTGTCATCACAGTGAACGACTGCGGATTCCATTTCTGCAGTTTTTTGAGCACTGTCCGCTTTTTTCATATTATCATTTCTTCATGTCATTCTGCACCAAATTAAACTTTAATCCACCGTGCACTTTGGCTCTAGCTCTTAGTCTAAAAGTACATACTGGCCTCATGAATATAGATAAACAATATAAAAGGGCTCCTAATCAATACTTGCATGAAAACATGGAGTGAACTCTCTGTTCTGCTGCTGCTGCCGTGCTTTGGGACTGAGGGACAACGGTCTTGCAGCCCAGACATGTGACAGAGTTGTCACTTGGTTCAGCAACCTCAAGAGAGAGGCCAGCACTTATCTAAGGGCAGCACGGGTGCCCATGGCAACAACCGAGGTGTGATGTCACCGCTTGGCAGAGCATGTGTTCACGAGTGACTGCGTCGAGACACTGCCCCTTTAAATGTGACATACCAATGAGTTTTATTATAGTCTCACGGCTCTGACATTCTTCTCTCGGACTCTCAGCCAGGGACGACTTTGATGCGCCCCTTCTTTGACAACTGAATGATTACAGTCGGGGTAATTTACTCCCCCTGCACAAAAACTGCGATTATTCCTCACTTGTTTGTCAAAAAATTCTTTTCTCAAAGCTTAAAGTCTACGATGAGATGGCTGATGTGGATCAGTGATATTTTTCTAAAAGCCGCCATGTCAGAAAAGCCTCTTTGAGTCTAATTCCCTAGTTAAAGGTATTAGTGATCAAGGTTCGGTGAACTTGCTCAAGAATCTTCCCGAACTGTCACTTACACCAAATCAGACAGCCGTGGTCTTTCTCTCTCTGCTTTTTGGTCCCCCAATTTTTTTCCTTCATCCATACCATCATTGATTTTAAAGGAGGGAAACTCTCCTCTCACCCCTTATAGATCATAACTGACATCAAATTAGAGTTTCATGTTTCAGAGTTTCATGGGGTCATTATCCCATTGTATTGCACAATTCTATATTTATACCACTTTGCCATTAAATATTTCTACTCAATTAATTTTCTTCTGCATGTAATGAGGCAACACTTGGCCCCGCAAGGCGCCATTTGGGAGGTAGCACTTGGCTAACCGTTTCCCTTTGTTCTACTGAAATAGGGCTTCAGCCTCTCTGGAAGAGAAAATGGATCACAGTTGTTTTCTTGCTATCAGATATTTGGCTTCTTAGACACTCCAGATCTGTGGATACACTAATAGGCTTCTTGGGGTTTGCAAAGAGCCGGCGTCGGTGCCTCTTGTATGCTTAGAGAGATATACTTAGAAAAATACATTAGGACTTATCGATTACCCGCGAAAATCAATCATGTATAAGGGTATAAGTGGCCGAGGAATAAAGATTGGTTTGGGTAATGCAAAGGGACAGAAATTATCAGTCACATTCTGCATGAGCATGATTAGAAGAGGATCCGACACCTCATCAGAAGGTGCATCAGCTTAACCAATTATCCAGGAGGCAATTTTCAGCAGTATTGAAGAGTTGATCTAAATCATTGTCATGAATCTTCTTCTTCCAGGCGCCTCGGTAATTCAGGTGACAGCCACAGACGCCGACGACGCCACATACGGAAACAGCGCCAGGGTGGTGTACAGCATCCTGGAGGGCCAGCCGTACTTCTCTGTGGACCCAGAAACCGGTCAGTGTCAAATTAAATGCAATTAAATCTGCATCAATACTCTTAATGCAGCCAGTGTACAGATATTAGTGGCATGATTTGTATTCCTGCCTCCATTTTGTTGTTTTCCCTTTCGTATATAGACAGTGTGGCGTCAAGCTCATTGCAAAAAAAGTTTTACAGTGATTGAGTCTAAAAAAGCAAACTGAAAAATGTTTTTCAAAATCAGCTTGTTTCAAGAATTTTCTGCTACACTTTTTAAAAGAGTATGAGAATATATTCCTGAACAATGGGACTTTTGGAGGTAGGGTTTTTTTTCAGGCTTTTCACAGTACACTGCAAAAAGAATTTTAGCCATTAATGTTAATACCTGACTCCTAAAAATCGTATTTTCTTAAAAATAAGTAGAGAAATCTGCATTTAATGGAAACTAACTTCTTCAAGGACTTTCTAGAAAGGATTGCAGGTATCTTGAAGATACAAGCAATCCGCAATGGAGGCGGCTGTGGCGAAGAGGGAGAGTGGGTCGTCCCCTAATCAGACGGTTGTTGGTTCGATCCCCGGCTCCTGTTGCCACATGTCGAAGTATCCTTGAGCAAGATACTAAACTCAGAATTGCTCCCGATGCTGTGCATCGGTGTGTGAATGTGTATGAATGTATTAGTTTCTGCTGTGTGAATGAGTGTAAAAGGGCTTTGAGTGGTTGAAGACTAGAAAGGCGCTATACAAGTACAGGTCCATTTACCATCCATCCAAGCATTGCTTAGTTTTATAAAATGCTTGAAACTAATTGATTTTCATTGGAATCAAGTTAAAATAATCATAGTTTCTCTTAGTCTTGTTTATACAATAAGACTTAAAGGAGATTTTTTGCAATTTTCCAGCTCAGCAGCAGTGAAATTTGATCTGAAATGTATCTAAAACATCTAACTTGAACATCACGTGTCAGTGTTTGTCCTTCAGAATCAAAAGACAGACATAAGACATAAGATTTTGGACCATAATGTAGCACCCACACAAGGACAAAATTCTCATAAAAAAAGCAAAGATTATAATTTATTTTCACCCAGTGTAGCCTCAGTAGACCAGCATGCAATGCAGCCATGAAGGATGTTGCTTTCTGATTAATGTGCACAACTCCTCACTCTGCCTTCAGTGGAAAGAGCTCTTATCCTCCTGCTCCAACAATGCTAATGCCATTTCACTCTCCACCTACACAATGTAACCCACAGCTGAACGCAACAAGTTTACACCCTTCGTCTGGAGGTGGCCATTCTGGGAAACATAACAAATCACTAACTGAGGCAGAAATAGGAAGACGGCAAGTTGAGCTTTACCAGGAAAGGAAATTAAAACAATTTATCACAAAATAACTCTGAGAATGCTGTGACCAAACCAAAAATACCAACACGTCTGCCTCTCCTCGCAGGCTGATGGGCGAAGGGGATTTATAGTAGAGAGAGTGGCAAATCACCAACCCCAAAAATCTAGCCGCTTGCTAGTTTTAATCATTAATGTGCGCTTTGGAACACATCCCGCTCGTGTCTTTTTTACTTAAACAAAAGGGAAACGACAAAAAAAGCCATTTGCAGATTAGTGGGGGGATTAACCGTAATATGGTTTATCCCACATGTGGTATGTAAGCTGACATCCCCTCTTACACAAAGACATGCCTGGACATCACATTATAAGCAGGATTTGTTTCTCCTCTCCTCCTCTGTGTGTGTGTGTGTGTGTGTGTGTTGTAGTCATTAAGCAAAAACAAAGGTAGACAGAGATATAGAGCGATCGCGATGCTGCTATAAGGCTATACATTTGCTTCCCTCCCTGCAACACCACCCGAACGATCGGCGTTCTCTTAGCAGTGTGCTGTCCGTGAGATGAATTTCACATTGTTAAGAGGGGAGAAGAAGAAAGTTGCGATGAGCCTGCATTGTTGTTTTTGCCACATTATGTATGGGAGGAAGAAAAGAGCAAATTGGAGGGGCCTTTTGAACAGCCTAGGCCAGTCTGAGCCGAGTTATGAGCCACGTCAGCCTCTCCCTCTTCATTATTGTCTGATATGCAATGAATCATCTATTCAGACTAAAAGTGATGAAGTTTGTCAGAGCAGTTTATTTAGGGTGAAATGCATTTTTTTTTTCATCTTTATTCTCCCACTCCAACTACTTCCCCCCCCTCCCCACCTGCTTCTTTTTTTATGATGCTTCAAATTCAAACGTGTAATAGCAGACAGGATTTAAGACCACCTCTGATGGGAGATGGAGCACACCTTTTGAATATGCTGCCAATTACCGCTTCACTCCGTCTCTGTCCTGACTCCAAACTAGAGATCTAACGTGTCAGAGCGGAGAAGTAAGCAACCGCTCTGCACTTGAAAGGGCTGAACATTAACAGAGTAATTCCAAAGAGAAGATAAATGATGCTGAATGCATTTGGAGGCGAATGCTACAAATTAAAGGAATACACTTTGGTTTTGGTAGATTGGCCCTTTGGTCCACTTACCAGTTAAATCATGAGAACACAGACACCAAAATGTGCTCCTGAGTGGCCGCTGAGCTCCGTGCCGCTGCGCATACTGAGCAAGATCACTGACCTTTCAGTAATAAAATGTTCTTAGTGGTTTAATTCTCTGCCCTGTATGCATAAATCTAAAACGAAAAAATGAAATATCATTAATTCAAAACAGCTGATGCTTATTTTTAGAAATATTTCAGGTGAGTGCAGTGAAACAGCTCATTATTTTTATGTCACATGACAGGTGGATTTTATGAAGGTTGTACTCAAACCTGCCAGACTTGCATAGTTTGAAAGATGACTTAGAGGTGAGCATTATGTTGTACAGACTATTTATTGGCTCTGTTCATACTGTAGGCTACATATCATACATCAGAGCTGCATTTACTCACACTGTGCATTCTGTGTGTTTGTGCTGCAACTAATGATTGTTTCATTAGAAGTTCATCTCATCTTCTGATTATTGTCTTGATGAACTACTTAATCACTCCAAATGTCCAAACCCAGAGTCCAAGGTGATGTCTTCAAATGTCTTGTTTTGTCTGACCAACACTGAAAAATCCAAAGATATTAAGTTTATAGTATATAAAATGGAGAAAAGCAGCAAATATTCTCAACTGAGAAGCTAAAACAAGGGATTTGGGGTCACTTTTGCTTTTAAAATGACTTAAATGAATCGAATAAAACCATTCCTAAGTCCCGCCCCTTTTTGCTATCTGCTCCAGCTAGCTAATTACATCTGATAGCTAATGCTACCAAAACGCTAACTAGCAAACTCATTTACGGTACATACAATTGTTAGCTAGTTAGCTAAATGTTTTGCAAACTAGCTCACTTAAGAAGTGACTATATATATGTTATGTCTATGTTAAAATAATATCTTTCCTGTACAGTTTTAGATCTTTCTATCTTTATCTTCATGTATGTATATTTTAAAAAGTACTTGAAGTACTTTTGTGTGATTTTTATGCAGCAACGCACCAAGGCAAATTCCTTGTACGTGTAAAAACTTACTTGGCAATAAACCCGATTCTGATTCTGATGTTGCCTTTATCTTTTAACCATCTTCAAAATGTTCCAATCTTTTTAACCACAGGCGGGCGTAGCACATAGCATATCAAACTACAGGCAAGGAGAAAGTTGCTCAGTTCTCTGTTGTCGATTAATTGACTAATTGTTTGAAGTCTACACTGTATATTGGTTTATTGTTCATGCTGTACATATTACAGTGACTGTACGTTACTGACATATCCCAGGTTCATGCACTTGCACTGTACATACTGTATATTGGTTTATTGTAATAAGGTGCATTTTGTTGCAGTGGTACTTACTGTGCAGTGACAATACAAACTTACCGCTGCTGTACCCAACATTCTGTATGTTAGAGTTAGGATAGAGTGAAGGACTTTTAAAACTAACTCTAAACAGAACTGAAGTACTGCAGAACTTAGGCTCATATAGATTTTATGTTCCAGCGGACCCAAAAGTTATGTTTGCTGCAGCAAAAGTACACTGTTGACCACAGCCGAAGGGTCAACGAGGCCACAAGGTCCTCTTGTGCTGAGCACACCTCACACAATGCTTTCAGTTATAGAAAGTGGAGAGCGAAATGGGAAAATGAGCTGCTGATGTGCCTCAGAGTCAAATAAACATAAGTGGTTAAACTTTTAAGTTTTGTGTTACAATTCTCAGCAAGGTCGTATTCTCATCCTGATTTCTAACAGTCAATTAGAATATTGATGAAGTGTTTTAAGGATTCAACTAATTATTATTTTACAGTTATCAATAATTCTGCCGATTATCTTTTTTGTCTATAAAATGTTAAAAAATGCTGATTATAATTTTCCAGAGCCCAAGGTTGCACCTTCAAATTACGTTTTTTGTCCAACCATCAGTTCATAACAGAAATATATTCATGTTTTTGGTCATATTTTACAAAGAAAAGCAGTAAATGAACACATTTTGAAAGCTGAAACAAGCAAATTTTCATAGAACTTGTTGTTGCAGCCTTAAATTATTATTTTTTTCATATTATAATTAAATTAAAAATAATAAAAACTGAAAATAAAGAGTCTTGTGAGTCTGTGTGCAGACAAACTGTATAATTACAGTTGACTCAACTTAGGCTATTAAATAAGCAGATGGAGGTTCCTTTAAAATACACTCTCACCATAAATCTCTGTATTTTTCCTCAGGCCTCATCAAGACAGCCCTGCCCGGCATGGACAGAGAAGTCAAAGAAAACTACCAGGTTGTGATCCAGGCTAAAGACATGGCCGGACAGATGGGTGGACTCTCTGGAACCACAACGGTCAGCATCACCCTCTCTGATGTCAACGACAACCCGCCACGCTTCACCAAGAGTGAGTACAGCCTCCTGGAAACCCACCCACACACTCTCACACACACACACACAGAGTGACCAATACTCAGTCCATGAAAACCACTTGTCAGTGTGAGCGGGTGCCAGGCAGGCAGCCCCCATCTGGTGTCAGTTTCAAAATGAATTTGGATTATTGCAGGGATCTCTGGGTTTTGTGCGACTAAGGCGGGCCTCTTAAAGGCAGCGAATAATTAAATATAGAGCCATGTGACAGTGCGAAGGGTCCTGCAAAGTGCATCAGATCAGCCCTGTAATCCCTATTAAATGAAGAGAGTACATTCACTGGGCTTTATCTCCTCTACTCTTCCACTCTCTTTGTCTATCTCCCGCTATTAAGTCTTTCTTCTGCTGCCTTTTACTCCATAAAAACCAATGTTCTCAATTTATTGCTCAAACTGTCCTTGGTGCACTTTTTCCCTCTTTTTGTTACCCTCTTGCTCATCAATCATCAATCCTTCCTTTCTACTCCCATCCTACTCTCTTTCAGTCTCGCACATTGTCTCCCTTTCTTCTCTCACCCCCCCCCCCTGCCCCCTCCCCACTCGTCGTCACCTTCCTCTCATGGATCTGCAAACGGCGAAGGCAGCCGATCAGGACTGACAGATTACCCGGGTGTCGTCGTGTTTCCCCTTTCAGTAAACCAGCAAGTGGCGGGACTGTACAGTGGGCGGCTCGCGTGCCGCACGGCAAACACACGACCGCAGAACTCCCGCGTTCCCCCTTTATCACTTCCCTCCTCCCCACCAGCTTCGGGGAGGGGAGGGAGGGGGGTTGAGGGGATGGGGATGGGGATAGGGGGGGGGGTGAGACAGACGCTGTCATCTCAGCCCCTCCGCCAATGAATGAACAGTGAGAGGAAGGAGGGAGATGGATACGACGGGGATGGAGGAGGTGACAGGAGGGGAAGATAGAGGAAGAAAGAGGGAGAGTGATGCAGGCGACAGAAAGACAGCCTGTGATGGAGGGAGGGGGGGGGGCAAGGGAGACAGAGGGGAAGATTGAAAGAGGGAGAAAGAGGAAGAGATATTGTAATGGGACACCCAGAGGAGGTAGAGTGTCAGGAAGCGATATCATTGTTGTCTGCCGGAGTGATGCCTCTTCTTTTCCACCCAATGCTAAATACCTGTTAGCCTAGGGAAACCTTCTCGTGGTGCGGCGCTTTCAGTGTGTGTGTGTGTGTGTGTGTGTGTGTTTGTATGTGTGTGCGGAGGCAAGTGTCAGCGTCACGGAGACCTGCCGACTCAGGCGTTGCCAAAACACTGTCAGCATGTTTTATTAGTGTGTCAGTGCTGTTTGTCTCCGCAGGCTGTGTGTATATCACGCCCGCTCCCTCCTGCAGTCCAGCTATTTATTTAAGCATACGAGATGCAGCTGGGGCCGCCGCGGCCGACAGGCAGCCATCAATTCATCCGCCTCAAACCAGGAAATCATCTCACAGAATAAAATAAAAAAAAAGGGGGAAGAAGCAATTAATTTATGTTGAGCAAATTGGCCCAGAATTTATGTTACATCCTAAACTTCAAGTAGTGAGTCAATACGGCTTGTAGCAACTTGCGTGAAAGGCCAAATGTCTGTTTTGGAAATGAAATATGTTTTACCGCATATGAAATGTCTGCTCCACAGCTGATCTACAAATGTTGCAGCACTAAATCTCCCCTTTCGCTTTCTCCCTTTCACACACTCTCCCTCCCCGGCTGGCTCTTATGTTGCTGCTCTCTGATTGGCTCTGACTCACTTTCTCCCTGACTTGCTCTCTTGTATTCTCACTCTCTGACTCACCCGCTTACACTCTTTCTTTTTTCACTAACAGGGTCATAAAAAAAGGCTTGGGTTATGACGCTCGTTGGGTGTCAGGGGTGCTGTTGTTTCTTTTTCGGCTGGTGTATCTTAAGCGCTTTTGTAAAATAGTCTCGGGGCGCCCTGCAGGGCTGTAATGCTTCTCGATTAGGCTTTTAATTTCAATAAGATCTTTTAAAGAGGCATTGATTCACCTCTTACATGAATTTCATCTTTGTGTGAAAAGCTGAGAATGGACATGAAAAGAAAAACCGAGGACGTGACCTCAGTCGTCATGGTCCTGCTCACACACTCAATCTTTGACACTCCTCCATTCCCGAAACCTTTTATTTCTCCAGCTTTCTTCTGTACATCTCAACAATGTTGCTCTGATTGACTATTCTGCTTTTCATGCTACGGCCAAACCATAAAGATGAAAAAAAAAATTCTCTCTCTGCAGCCCTCTACGAGTTCAGAGTGCCCGAGTCCATCGAGCTCGGGTCTGTGGTGGGACTGATCCGGGCCATGGATGCTGACATCGGCGAGAACGCAGAGATGGACTACAGGATCATCGGGAGCGACGGCCCCGGCATGTTTGATGTCTCCACCAATAGGAGCACGCAGGAGGGCGTCATCGTGCTGAGGAAGGTCAGGGACTCTCTGTTGGTGTTTGGTGAGGGGTGTAATGGGGCTGTGTGAGTGAGTGTAGTTCCCACTGGGGATAGAGAGGGGGGGTTACATGCCCCCATTTTAACAGTTTCAGTTTAATTCACTCAATTAAATCTCTATACAAATAGGCTCCTCTTGATTGAAATATTGATACGCTCATTACATTACAGCTATTACGGCAGTAAGCTTCACCGGCAACAGTGAATGCTTTGTTATTACCTACCCTGAACCTCTGATTGGCCGAGCTTCTTGGGGCCTCACGCTGCCTCACAGGAAGCCCTGCCATCTACATTTTATTTACAATAAAGGCTTGTCTACACAGGAGACATTTCAGACTTGATTTTTAGTCGTTTGTCTCACGTGCATCTGAAGGAACAGATACGCTTGTATTTTAATCAATACAGCTGTCTACACACGGAGGACTCAAGCTGCTGCTGCTCTGCTAACACACTGCTTTCGCTATGCAGGATGTGTAGATATCGATTCTCCTAAAAGTGTGCTAGAACTGAACGTCAAAGAGAGACATTAAAGTTAGGATCCTTAAGATTTTAATCTGGGTTGCTACTTTGTCAGAAATACAACATAGGATCAACTGGTGTACTAAAGAAGTCAGTCAATAATCAAACTTTTTCCATTATGTTGCACATGGCATGAGCAGTTTTCCACACAGCAGCGGGGCATAGTGCAGTTAGTTACCTTGCTGAAGAGTTGGAGTTGTGCAGCCGGTCACCTGCAGCTCTTCATCTAACAGCTCACTATGGCAGCTTCTTCTTTTTCCGTTATTCTCCAATATTGACAACTGATCCGCTGTCAAAAAATCCAGAAAATGACCATGTTTTTGATGAATGATCACAGTAAGCGTTAACCACAGTGATAAATGTGTTTGTCTGGTTCACAATAAAAGCCACCCTGTCTTTTGCCAGCTGAAATCCTTTAATCTGGAGCAGCAGCTGCACAACTTTCCTGTGAATCTCGTATGTGCGTTGTATGTGAAGGCAATTTGAATCCAGCGCTGGGATGGCGGACCCCGCCACTTGAATGAATTTGAATTTAAACTACTGTATAGAGAAGTAATTACATATGGAAATACATCAAATGGCTATTGCGGAAAAAAATCTATAGGAGCCTAAATGTTTATTTTAAATAAGTAAATACAACATTATCTATAATTATATTAGGTCTCTATGCATGTAACAAACACTTTTAAGCGGGGTTAATGCATTACTAATGCAGCAATTTATAGCCTGCCATTATCATGGACTACATTATAATAAAGTTATATATTATTTGCCATGTTGATCTAACTAAATGTAGGAAATAGCACTCGCATAGTTTGTTTTGTTTTTGGTGGTTTGCGTTGTAGAGCCCTAGACTGTGTATGAGCTCTCCTCATTTGGGCAGAAAAAGGGGAAACAACACAATGAACTGCACTCAATAAAGAAAACTTTTTATTACCATATGCCCTGACAGCCGGTAGATGGACAGTAGAGTTATTAGATTTCAACTTACACTTGCTCACACTCCCAGCACATGTGTTTTGAGTGAGATTCATTCTTCCTCTCCGCTGAGACCAAAGCAGAAATATTGATGCTCAGTATGGATCGCAGCATCAGCGGTGTGCTGTGGTGTGTTTCTGATGTATTCAACAGAATCTGGCAGTTGCCTTATCAAGCGCTCTCTCTGCAGCCTTCGATCGATCGCTTCCATCATGCCATCATTAAGTGGAGGATGACATAATTGCCTTTTGTAGCCACGGTTGTGCTGTAGTGGATGTGGTGTGCGGGCAGAGTGTGTGTGGGGAGTGAGCATGCCCCAATTCTGAACAAGAGTGTGTCCCATCTCGGCTTGTACCGGTCCTTCAAAGCAACACATTCCTCCCACTGACGTGCCGTTCCCCCCTACCTTAACAAGAAACGGCGAAAATCACTGACTCACAATATGTTATTATGCATGGCTTCAGAAAATGTCTTGTTCCATGTGGATTTTTCAAGCTTTCATTGGCTGTTTCCAACGTTCACGGACACAGCATCCTTTCATATGTACAGTAGGCAGCCTGCGAGGAAGCTCACTCTGATCCTGCTGCTCCTGCTAAGCACCCGGCGCACATTCATTAAAATGCACCGCTCCCCAATTATTTCCATCAATGGGGGGATACCTTCAGTGGCTACAACTTCAAAAAAAAAGTTCTGGAAAAGGAACATAAAAGCATACCACCAACCTGTGCTAAAATGCACCACGACAGAAAAACACTGACAATCGCACAGGAATCAGGCTTCTAATCGTTGTGCCCAGTCCATAAATTATAGGATGTAAGAGCAGTGTACAGTAGATGCAGGATTATAGGGGATCATACGTAAAAAATAGCATAGCTGCTTTCCTTTTAAGTTAACAAATGGGTAAAATGAAAGCCTGTTTACCAACTGAAAGGGTCTCGCATAAATATACATGAAATTACTATATATTTACTGTTGAAACCACAAAATGAAGCCGACAAAGAAAATAGTATGGATGTAGTTATATCTTAAAGAGGAAACCCAGGAAAAGTGTCTTTTTTACTGTCATCAATTCAATTCATTATTTATTGAACAAAATACTAAAAATATGAATAGGGAAGTCATGGCGCTCAACAGATGTGACCTTCAACGGAATATCAGTCATGATATTATTATTTTTCTATTTTAGCTATTTTTATTCTTTTTCTAATCAGGCTTATTAATATATTGTAATGTAGAAATATGTACAACCTTGATACACCCTTACAAAGTATATTTTTCTGTGTTACAATTTGTATTTTCCACCATCAAGTCTTACAATCCACTGACACCCCCAACCGTATTTTCTCTGTCGCTTATGTACTAATCTATTGTACTGATCTCTCATCATTCATTTAACAGAAACATAAAAGCAAAATGAACAGATGTCACCCAGCAAACATCCAGAGACAACTTTGATTGATTGTTTCATAGAGTGTGGCGGGGATCAGGAAATCAAGTGGAAAAAGCACAAGAAGTTGGCGTTTCTTTGTTCCTGCCTAAAGAAACAGGAAGAAAAGCAAAAGAAAACGTAGATAATATGTGCACTATTTAGCATTAATAGCCTACTCAATAACTGCAATAACAAGACTCATCAAAAGACGGACATTATAGTAAAACAATCACCAGAAACAATTATTTGTCTAATCTATATACCGTCTAGTTAAAACAAGACACATTCATTTGTCCTAATATCTTCCCTTGAAAAGAAGTCTTGTTTTTTATCATGTTTAATATCGACATGAGTGCAGTTTTTGTGCAATAATCCAACCATGTTGTCCTCATGTTATTTTTCCAACCAAATGCTACATCAGTCACATTATTCAGGATGTGGCAGCAGTTAAGTAAAAGGCTTTTACATGTCCAAAAGAGCACTGCCTGATCTGTGCAACCGCCCGTGTGTGTCCATCAAAAGTCTTGTTAGTGTCCTTGAACAAGACACTGAGCCCCTTTGCATGCGCTCATTAGACGATGTTCTGGAAAAGATTGTCAGTTTAATGAATAAAATCCCAATCTGACCTGAAATTAAATGTGGCAGGATGCTCCGAATGGATATTAGTTTTAAAAAAAGTTTTAACAAAAATCAACAGCTGAATGTGTGGCTGCATACAAATGAACGTTTAAACGTAAGCGTTAGATGACAGAAGCTGTGATTAGAGCAGAAAACAAAAAGCCACAGTGGAATTTTCCCTTCAAGAAAACAAAGAAACATGTAAAGTTACAGAATGTTAAACACCTCACGTATGCATCTTCTTTCTGTTTCCGCAGCCTCTCGACTTTGAGAGGAAGCGTCAGTACAGTCTCCGTGTTCAGGTGGAAAACGTCCACATCAACCCTCGCTTCTTCTCCGTGGGCCCCTTCAGGGACGAGGCCAGTATCAAGATCATCGTAGAGGATGTGGACGAGCCGCCGGTGTTCGAGCGCGCCAGCTACGTCATGGAGGTCAAAGAAGACGCCGCCAGGAACACCGTCATCGGCTCCGTCAGCGCGTCTGATCCCGACGACAAGAACAGTCTCGTCAGGTACTGAACCACGTGCAACCTTTAGGGCTGAATTCTAAGGCAGCCATTGGTTCCCATTCATTTCTGTACAATTTGACCAAACTCAAGCTCCAGTTCATGGCTTTTCTTCCAGAACTTTCAACTGCATCTGAGCACCCTTAGGACCTCTCATCCGTGTTGGTTTAAAAGTGAAAGTTTGAGCCCATGTGAATAAACGGTGCAGATAAAAGTACCGGAAAAAGCTACTAATCAGAGTTTCAGTTTAAATTTTTAATATTTTAAATTAAAATATTTTTTTATTATTTAATTAAGTCAACTTTAATTATTTATAATAACATTATCATTGCGTGGTAGTGCAGTTTGAGTTCAGACTGGTTTGGATTTAAATTTCATACTGTGGGAACACGAATGGAAGCCCTAACCTTAACGCCTGGAACCATAAGAAAAATAGATCCAAAAATCTAAAACTGTGCATACATTATGGATTTGAAGATGGTCAGCAAAAATGCTAAGAATTTGCGTAAAAGCATAAAGCATAAAATGTGTGTGGTCAAAACTTTTTGAGACAAGACAAATGCTAACTTTAACTATAGAGTTACTATCTGGTTACACAGTTTGCACTTTATATGTGAGACACAAGAGAACCCTTTCAATCCAAAACCAAACATTATGATTTTAGGTCTTTGATTAGACGGTATGACAACAGAAATCACACAAATTTGTGGTACAAGTAAAACTTTATTAACTTACCAAACGTTTTAACTGGACTCTGGACCAATTCAAGCTCACGTTTGGTGACATTTTGTATCTGGGGAAGCAACATGGCAACAGGCCACTGGTTATGGCCGAAAACTCAGGCAGAAGCACATATGAACCTTGAGTTGAGAGTATTAAATCTCAGACCTTAAAACAGTGGTGATCCTCATACATTTTCAAATGGGGAGAATTTCTAATAATAGTGAAATATAACTTTTTCTAATTGTTCTGTGGACACCCTTTAATCAGTTCAAGTGGTTTTGGACTCCTAATGGGAAAACTATTCATGCACAACACTTGTAGAACTTATTACTTTCTATATTAAAGTACAGGAGTTCTGATTAAGTTAATTATTTAAATATTAACATAAACTCAAAAGACTTTTTTCCCCTTTTTAATTAATATTTTATTATTGAGGCCACACATATTATGTCAGAAATACCAACTCCTGCTAAAGTAAATGCATCAAAAGTTCACTTACTTCATGGAGATACAAAATTATGCAAGTATTCTATTAAATGGAAGTAATGGCAGTGGGTTGTGAGGCTGCACCTTCCACTCTGTCTCAAAGACTTTTTCATTTTTATGATGCACTAAGGGAGTTGGCTCTCAAGGTTGAAGTTCCACCACTTTATTGCAAGTGTCAAATATGATATCATTCTCTTTTATCGCCCATCATCAAGGAGGTAGCTACCCCGTGGCATTTAAAGCCGCGCAGTGGAGGATGAG